ACCCATCAATTTAATCACTGATTTCAGTAATAGTGGATTAAAAGAATCCTTCAGAAATTGTTAGATTCTAGCATGTTGCAAATTTTCTGGTACCAGGGTTTGAATCCAGGGGCAGTTATTTTTTTTTTTTTTTTTTAATTTTGAGGTAGCATCTCACCAAGTTGCTTAGAGCCTTGCTAAATTGCTGAGACTGGCTTTTAACTTGCAATCCTCCTGCTTTAGCCTCCCAAATTGCTGGGATTACAGGTGTGTGCCACTACACCTGGAAATACATTAATTCTGAAAAAAAATCTTAAATAAAACTAGTACTCCTAAGAAATAATTGTATAGCACTGTTAGGAAGTGAGCAGAATACAGTCATTTTTTGGTGTCCTTGGAGATTGATTCTAAGACCCCCCTCCTTGGATGCAAAATCTATGGATGCTCAAATCCCTTATATGAAGTGGCATAGCATTTGTATAGAAACTACTCACCTCCTCCTGTACACTCTAACCTATTTTTAGATTACTTATAGTACCAGATACAATATCAACGCTATGTAAATAGTTGTTGTTATACTGTTTTGTTCAGGGAATAAAGTCTATATGTGTTCAGTACAGACATAATTTTTTTTTTTCCAAATAGTTTTGATCCTCAGTTAGTTGAATCCATGGATCTGGAACCCAAGGATATAGAGAGCTGACTATTTGAATGTGTGGCTGTTACAGCCAATTTTCTGAACTCTTCCACTTAGATTAACTGCTACTTCCGATTAAACTGGGAAAGCAACTTAAATTCTAGAAACTTCAGCTTCTGCATAGGGAAAATAGAGAAGTAATACTGTGTTCATCAGTCTGTTGTGGTTATTTTAACCAATGATGGAGGTCAAATCAGCACAGAACTTGGCACATAAAATAGCTTACAGACTCAAAAACAGCAATAGCAAATAAGATGATATCCAATGATGAAGTAAAGTTGAGGTGCAGAAAATAAAACAGGTGAAAGAGAAAGAGAGAGAAGGGGGAGAGGACACTTTGGCTGATTAGACAAGGGAAGCCTGTGGTGAGGAGGTGACATTTAAGCCCAGGGCTGAGCACTCAGCAGGAAGTCCGCATATCATCCTACATAGAAGGATGTAAGATTAAAGTAGGTAGTATACAAAATGGAATGCGGACTGTAACACCCTACAAAAAGGGACAGAGCTCATCACTCTGTTTATACCAGAAATAAACCATTGCATTTATTCATGCTGTATCCATTCATTCATACATTCCTTTATTTCCTCTGACATTTTGCAGAGTTGACAGAATCTTGCTGACATGGTAGTAAGGCCTGATTCACTCCAGATGTTTCTTGGGAAAGAGAGTCAATCTGGACAGATATTAGAATAGCCCTCATTTCTATGGTTGTTGTTGTTGTTGTTTTTTTTTTTTTCAGGGATCCAATTGTCTCACAATAATGCTGGGAATATTGCCCTTTTACAGATGAGGAAATTGGGAATCATTTTTAATGACGTACTTAAAATGATTCCCTTTTATATTAAAGATAACTGTCTGTCTCCAATGCCAGGTGGACAAGGTTGTTAGTTATAAGGGCCTGATTGTGGCTATTCCTTCAGGGTCTTAGACTCTCCTCTTTGCTCAAACCCCTGCAAGCTCACAGGGGATGCTGTGACCAGGTAGACACAGCTAATTTGGCTGTCTTCCCCAAGAACGCCCCGTATGAATTAAGTCTTGCTATACCCCTGGGGACCGTGCGTAGTCACCTATAAATGAGGTGACTGTATTTTTTGAACTCAGCGTCAGCTATGTGGTCTGACAATAAGGCACAATATTCAGATCCAGACTGTCCCTAATAAGCATATGGTGCTCTGAAGAGGATCCCTCCCTATCAATGGCCTTGCAGTTATGAACTTCCTAACACTGGGATTAGAACAGGAGGGAGGGAAAACAAAGAGGTGCAGGTAAAAACAGTCCAGGCTCAGCCATCTTGGAATTCCTGCATTTTTCTGCACCTAGGCATTCATTAAAATCTAGGGAGGATGTTCTTTTTTGCCTGTTACTCATCTCCCTGGGGTAACCATTATAGAATGAGAGCTGAAGCAGGTTTTGCAGGAATAATCTGTAAGGAATAGAAATGAGCAAATGTCTTGAAATGCCTGGAAATTTCAAATCTCCCAGGTCCAGCAAAGAGGACAGAAGCCAGCTCAAGGAGGGTTCCCCCCCCCCCCAGGAGCTGTCCCTTGCTAGTCTGCAGGGACTTCAAAGGCTTGCTGCATTCACAGGCAGGAGTGGAAGACAGCAAGGGGGAGGGAAGAGGTGAGAGAAGAGAGAAGAGGAAAAAAAGGCGGGAGAGACAGGGGACGGGCTCCTTTAACAGTCTCCTTTTGGTGCAGTGGTTTTTGCACTTGTAGGTCTGCGGCAGGATGTGAAGTGGGAAGTGTTTTGTGGTCAGGAGAAAAACTGCAGCTGGCGGGAGATGGCGTGGGCTGATGGATACTCCGGAGAGAGGCAGCAGAGGTTGGGAGGCGGCAAAGAGCTGAGGCGGTAGTAGGGTGAGTGAGACAGATGGCCTTCCCCTCCCATAGGGATTTGCAAATCCAAGAGTTTCAGATCCATGCTTAAGATTTGGTATCCTGCAATCATCACCAGGTTTGTTGTGTGTTTGGGGTCTTATTTGAGTGTGACCGTGGGCAAGTCACTTAAGCACGGGTCCTAGGATCCTTCACCTGTAAAATGAGATGACATACTAAGAGCAGAAACTGTTAGAACTGAGTGGAGACTGTAAGGTGCACGCCCAGAGCCGATCTCGGGTTCCCTCGCAGCGTGTGTGGTAAGTCACCTTTTCCCAGGTCCCTTCAGCCACCTGCACTTCCCAGCCATTTCCAGATTCACGGGCATCAGATTCTCCACTGGGGTGCCCCCCAATGGCAGCCAACCTGCAGGGCCACCCACTGCTCTGCTCCCCTCTTCAAGACAGCTTCTCCCATCCTCTGTCATCCGAAAGGCACTGGGAGGACAAGAGAGTGTCTACTCCACCTTTGATACCTTGCTTCAGGTGAGGCTAAATGGAGGGCAAAGGGCGGGGAGAGGGAGGAAGAGAGGAACAAAGAAGGAGCTGGTTTTCTGGCTGTGGTCTCTGTTTGTTCTTCTTAGTGAACACCCCACCTCCTCCTCTGATCATGAACTGCTCTGGGCTCCGAGTCCTTTATTTTCTTCTTCTCAGCACAGTTAACCCGTGAACTAGGCAAACCAAGGGCGGGGGGTGGGGGGAGAAGAAGCACATAATAACTTCCTGAGCATTTGAACACCACATAGTAGATTACGGAGTCGTTTCCCATCCACGACGCCACACAATTGTACCAGGGAAGTTCCTTCTGTCCTTAGCCCCATTTTACAGCTGGGAACTGCAGAGTAGTGAGGAGACTGCGAGTGCTGGATCTGGAACTTGGTCCTGAGAATTTGACCCCCAAATCTTGGAACTTTCCTCTCTCTTCTATGTCATCTTGATGTTAAAATACAGAGGGCAGGTAGGGGACAGGGAAATGACTCTCTAAGGAAATCTGCACCTTAGCAAAGCTAGAATAGGGATTATCTATGAAACAGTGGATGAGTTTCTATACACATCACCCTCCGCTTACCCTGCCCAACCCTAGTTTCTCAAGGGAATTCAGGATTACACAGTTGGAAAAATCACACAGTTTCTCTCCTTGCTTCAAACATTTAAGGAGACACTTAAAAACTTTTTTGTGAAGTTAAACGAGGGTGTCTGGCTTTCGTGCTTAGCCCAATTCAGAAAATGAAGCGTGCAAAGTCCCCAGTGGGGTAGCACCTTCCCTTCTCCCAGATAAAAGGACATAGTTACAAAATGTTACCATGTGGCTTAGAACTAATAGAACAAATGGGAGCTTCATTACCCACAAGTCTGTCCGCTTTAAGACAGGTGTTTTGTACCTGTGCTAAGACAGAATGTGACTCCAGAGTCTGGAGCGTTATTAATGTTAAAAGGAACATTATACTATCAAATTAGGAATCAGCTTGAAGATAATAGTATATTCATAGAAGGATGTTCTGCTGAGAGAAACTGAGCCCTACCTGAGCCCTCTCTGGGGAGTAAGACATCCTGGACTGCAGGACAGATACTTTGAGATCAAAATTTGAGATCAAATTTTGCTCACCTGGATCTCCAAGTCTCTCCTTCAGATAACATTTATTTTTTTGTTTGCTAAAAATAAAACCTCAGAAATACCCCTAGTTTTGCTGTACCTGATGGTATGTGCCTGACACAGTTATTCCACAGTCTAAGGTAAGAAGATTGCAAGTTCAAGGCCAGTTTGGGTACATTCCCTATATGAACAAGGAGGGGTGGGGATAGTAGCTCAGTGGTAGAGTGCTTGTCTAGCATATGTGAGGCTCTGAAGTCAATCCCCAGCACTGGAGAAAAAGAAGAAGAAAAATACAAAAACAAAAAGAAACATCGTAGTCTGTCTTCTTGGAGCTCTTGCCCAGTTCAATTACAGGAAACCCTTCCTAACTCGCCTGATCCTCTGGCTGAAAAAAACCTATCTTTTGTCTGAAACCCAAAGTCACTTTACTGTAGACCCTCATCACCACCTCTGTGGAGGTCAGCACCAGAGCAGTCTGTCCAAGGTCCCATGGTGGTTATAACTGAAATGAAAATTAATTCCAGGGGTCCTGATCCCAGAGCATGTCCATCGCACCTGTGTCCTCACCTGGAAGGACTAATGGAACTCTCTGTGGCCCATCAACACACTGACAGATTGGATAGGTAACACCTGTCACGGAACCAGAACCTAAAGACACAGGGCTGAGCAGCTCTGGCAAGGGGCTAGGGATCAGGAGAGATGTGGACTATGGAGTGCTCCCAAGGGCAGGGCAAGACTAGTGAGAATGATAAATGGGGGTCAGCAGGCAAGTTAGTCTTGCTCTTCTCCTCTGCACTGTAGGGAAGGTTCACTGTCTGAAGCCTGATCTGTAATTGTAGCCATTGTCTTTCTCAAGCTAAAAGTCCTTTGTGAAGTTCCCCATGGCCTTCCGGATGCAGTCAAATGCTTGACGTGGTGCTCAAGGCTCCCCTCCGCTGCAGCCTCCGCTTCACACTGCAATGTCACCTCCGCAGTCCTCCTCTGCAGCCTCAGCACCACCAGGAACTCGCAGCTCTAAGCTCCAGCTCAACACGGTGGTGAGTGACACACCACCCCGACCTTCAGGACATGTGCCATAGAAAGCAAGGCGATCACAGTGCAGAGAAAGAAGTCGCAGGATTGTGACGTCCTTGTTGTTAGGGGGATTCGTGGGAAGGACACCTACGTAGGATTTAGGAGATCAGTGAGAACTTCCCGAAGGAGTGATAGCTAAGCAAAGAGCTAGATGATCAAAGGGATCCAGAGGGGCAGGAGATAGTTTTTAGCAAAAGAAATGGAATGTGCCAAGGAAGGGGGAAAGTAAGTAGCAGGAATTCAGACAATGAGGGAAGAAGGGGAGGCTGATGGGGTGGTGAATTCTACAGTTTGGCCTGAAATGTCCCCAGAAGTGCCATGTGCTAAAGGCTTGGTCCCAGCTTGGTCTGTTGGGAGGTGCTGAAAACATCAAGAGGTAGGACCTCATGGGAGGTTCCCCAGACACTGGGGGTATGCCCTTGATGGGGACAGTGAGGTCTCAGACCCTTCCTCTTTCTCTCCTTTGTTCCCAATCATGAGGTGAACAGATTTCCTTCACCACATGCATCTCCTTTGATGTTCTGTCTCAGCGGGTCAACTGACCATGGAATAAAACAACCCGAATAAACCTTTCCTCCTTTCAAACTGATTATCTCATGTGTTTTGTTACAGTAATGGAAAGCTGATTAACACAATAAGACATGAAACTAGAGATAGCCAGGGACCAGATTGCTGTGACCTTCAAAGAGTAGGGGAAGGAAAGTGTGTGTGTGTGTGTGTGTGTGTGTGTGTGTGTGTGTGAGAGAGAGAGAGAGAGAGAGAGAGAGAGAGAGAGAGAGAACAACAAATATAGAGAGAAGGAAAAGAGAACACCAATTTATCCTAGCCTTGCTTAATCAATAAACACTTATTGAAAGTAATTGTGCAAAGCTCTGTGTGCCGAATCTGCTAGGGAATAGGCAGCAAAAACCACTCAAAGCTTTTCCTTAAGAAACTTACAAGCTAGGAAGAGGAATAATATTTTAAAAAAACGAATAAAACCAGGTAGAATACTAAAACTGCGATAATAGTAGTAGAATGAAATTTTAGCTGAATTTGAAAAACAAAGCAATGCAATTCATTTGCAGCATCATTGAAGCTCTCATGAGGAAGATGCTCTGTGGGCTGTGCTGATGAGCAGGCAGGACTGAGTCAGCAGAGATGAGGGCCTGTCTGACTAAGGGTCTGGAGCAGGAAGGGAAAGAGGAAAGTAGGGGAGGGAACAGGGGATGCTCCAGGAGGAGTTCCTTTAAGTTTGCCGGGTGGACGCCAGAGTCTCTCAAGGGCCTCACTGTGGTCTGAATGGGTTCCCTCAATTGCACAAGCTGGAAACTCAGGCCCTAGAGCCCTGGTGTTGGGAGGTGGAGCCCAAGGCGGGTGTTCAGCTCCTGGAGGCTCCGCCTCCATGAATGGATAAAGGCTGCTTTCAAAAGGCCTTGCAGGAGTAGGTTCTCGCTCTCACTCTTCTGCCATGTGAAGATGCGACCTTCACCGCTACCTGCCCCTCTGCCTTCCACCACATGAGAACGCAGCAAGAAGTCCTCTTCACATTCCAGAAGCTGGCGCCTGGATCTTGGGCTTCCAGCTCCAGAACTATAAAAAATAAATTTCTGTTTTTTATAAATTTCCCACCAGCAATGTACGAGTGTACCCTTTTCCCCACATCCTCGCCAGCACTTGTTGTTGCTGGTGGGACTGCATATTGGTGCGGCCAATTTGGAAAGCAGTATGGGGATTCCTGGAAAAGCTGGGAATGGAACCACCATTTGACCCAGCTATTCCCCTTCTCAGACTATTCTCTGAAGACCTTAAAAGAGTGTACTATAGGGATACTGCTACATGGATGTTCATAGCAACACAATTCACAATAGCAAGACTGTGGAACCAACCTAGATGCCCTTCAATAGATGAATGGATAAAAAAAATGAGGCATTTATACACCATAGAGTATTACTCTGCACTAAAAAATGACAAAATCATGGAATTTGCAGGGAAATGGATGGCATTAGAGCAGATTATGCTAAGTGAAGCTAGCCAATCCCTAAAAAACAAATGTCAAATGTATCTTTGATATAAGGAGAGCAACTAAGAACAGAATAGGGAGGAAGAGCATGAGAAGAAGATCATCATTAAACAGGGTCGAAAGAGGGGAGGGAAAGAGAGAGAGAAGGGAAATTGCATGGTAAAGGAAGGAGACCCTCATTGCTATACAAAATTACATTTAAGAGGAAGTGAGGGGAAAAAAACGAGAGAGAGAAATGAACTACAGTTGATGGGGTAGAGAGAGAAGATGGGAGGAGAGGGGAGGGGAGGGGAGGGGGGATAGTAGAAGATAGGAAGGGCAGCAGAATACAACATACACTAGTATGGCAGTATGTAAAAAAGTGGATGTGGAACCGATGTGAATCTGCAATATGTATACGGGGTAAAAATGGGAGTTCATAATCTGCTTGAATCAAATGTATGAAATATATGTCAAGAGCTTTGTAATGTTTTGAACAACTAATAATAAAAAAAAAGAATCAAGAAAAAAAAATAAATTTTCCAGACTCGGGTGTTCTGTTACAGCAGCGTTGCAGTGACTAAGACAGACCTTGAATGCCAGCTGAAGAATTTGGATATAACTCAGCAAGTAAATGGGAAACATGAAAAATATTCAAGAAAAGAGACATGATATGAACTAGAAGATTAAATTAGCCATGGTATCTATGTACCAAATTTAACAAGCTGGAGTTTGTGAAAGTGTTATAGCATATTTGGTGAATTCTACAATTTTTCAAATTACACTTTTCCCCCCAAATTTTATAGTCATAAGACACATAAAGGGGCTGGGGATGTGGCTCAAGCGGTAGCGGGCTCGCCTGGCATGCGTGCGGCCCGGGTTCGATCCTCAGCACCACATACCAACAAAGATGTTGTGTCCGCCAAGAACTAAAAAATAAATATTAAAAAATTCTCTCTCTCTCTCTCCTCTCTCACTCTCTCTTTTAAAAAAAAAAGACACATAAATTTGCCATCTTAACGACTTTTAAGTATCCAGTTCAATGATGTTAAATATATTTATTATGTTATACAACCATTACCATCATTCATCTCCAAACCCTTATCATCTTATAAAATCGAAACTGTATCCATGAAATAATAACTCCCCAATCTATTTCTTACTGCTTTTGATAAACACTATTCTACTTTCTGTCTCTTGAATTTGACTACACTAAGTACTTCATGTAAGTGAAATCAGACATTATTTGTCCTTTTGTGACTGGCTTATGTCATTTAGCATTCTGTCTTCAAGTTTCACCTGTGTTATAGCATGGGTCAGAATTCCCTTCTTTTTCATGGCTGAATACTATTTCATTATATGGATTGACCACATTTTGTTTATCCATTCATTTGCTGAGGGACACCTGAGTTGCTTTTTTTTTTTTTTTTGGCTATTGTGAATAATGTTGATAAGAACATGGGAGTACACAACCATAAAGAAGAATAAGTAAGTTATATCATTCAAATGGATAGAACTAGAAAACATCCTGCTCAGTGAAATAAGCCAGGCTCAGGAAGTTAAAAGTCAAATGTTTTCTCTCATATGCGGAAGCTAGAGCAAAATAAGGGGGGAAAGGTGGAGGCAAATCCTATGAAAATAGAGGGAAGATTGGTGGAGTAGAAAAAAGAGTGAGGGAGAGGGAGGAGAGACAGAAAAAGAGGAAGAATTGACCAAAATATGCTGTGTACTTGTATAAGCCCACCACAGTGAATTCCATCTTTCTCTGTGTCTGTAAAGCACCAACTTAAAAACAATAAAGAAATAGAAGGAAAACCAATAGAGAAAGGGAAACAGGGGGAGAGGAGGAGAAGGAACTATAATGGAGCTTATTATATCCCATGCATGTATAATGATGTCAAAATGAACCCCAGTATTAGGAATAACTATAATATGCGCGCACACACACACACACACACACACACACACACACACACACAAAAGACTTAAAAACAAACATGGGAGTCCAAATCTCTCTTTGATGCCCTGCTTTCAGTATTTGGGCTATATACCCAAGAGTGGAATTGCTGAATCAGATGATAATTTTATCAAATCACATATTTTTATCTTAACAAAAACCTTAATATTATCCCACACTGGAGGATTTGAATGATTTCATTATATAAAAAAATTCTGTGTCTCAAGTCAAATGTCTATTCTGGCCCTGAAGAAATATTCATTGAGCACCTACTGTGTGCTAGGCACAGTTCTAAGCATTGGGTACAGAGTAATAGAGAAACAGACAAAAGTCCTCCTCCACAAATTTGAAAATCAACCAGATATTTTTCAATCTTAAGAAGTTATCATTATCTTTCTAAGTACAATAGTGGTGTTGTGGTTCAGGAGTTTTTAGAGTTGAGAGCTTTTTAGAGGTGCATTTTGAGATTTGTATATGAATTGACATGATAGGCCAGTGGGTTAGTGGGTGGAGGGAAGTGAGGAGGACGTGGATGCAGCAGGATTGTACCGAACTGGTGATTGCTAGAGCTGGGTGAAGGGTACAGAAAGATTCACAGGCTTCTGTGTATGCATAATGTATATATTGTGAGTGTGTGTGTGTGTGTGTGTTACTGGGGATTGAACCCAGGGATGTTTTACCATGGAGCCACAACTCCTGTCCTTTTACTTTATTTTTTATTTTGAGAAAGGTTCTCACTAAGTAGTTGAGGATGGCCTCAAACTTCTGATCCTCCTGCTTCAGCCTCCCTAGTTGCTGGGGTTACAAGCATCTACCACTGTGCACAGCTATACATACTATTTTTTAATAATTAAAAGTGAAGAAAAAGAGCCCTTGCCCTTGTGGAGTGTGCTTTTTAGGGTTGAAATTTGTGCTACCATGGCATCAACACCAACAAGGGCAAGACAATGTCACAGTGCCAGACAGGGGCAGAAGTTGTGAAGCAGGTCAGACGCACATGAGGGAGGGAAATACAGGTCCTTTCTGGGACATGGAGATACAAGCATTCTGGATTCCTAAGAGCCCAGTGGGTGCCTGCAACATCTTGGGAGTGGCTGTTTCCAGAGTATTCAGAGTACGTCTATGTACATGAAGCTGTTCATTAGCAAGTATGGAGTGAAGTGCTAAATGTTTTAAGAATTATGAGGTACATTATTAAAAATAACTCAGTGACAACTTAAAAAATATTAGTTGTTAAATACACAATATGACAGTGACTCAGAAAGTGGCCCACGACACTCAGAATCACAAGAATCAAGTTATTCACAAGTGAAACAAAATGAGATGAGTAAATTTAAAAAATACCTAAATACACAATAAAGAAAACACAAACTAGTAAGTCTACCTCTCTAATGCTACTAGTTTCAGTAAATTAAAATGTCACCTTAAATTAATGTATTTTGATTTCATTAGCTGCATATGTATATTTGATTTCATGTAATTTTTTATTTATACCAGTATGAAGAACTATAGGTGAAAACAGTCATAACCAATTTTGTTTGTATATATTTTAAAAGATCATAATAAAAAAAAATTATATCAACCCTGGAGGGCCTTGGAGTTTTTTGTTTGTCTTTTTTCCTCTTTAAATTGTATTCACTATTTCTC